TAATTAGGTTTATTTTGAAAAAGGTTTATTTATATACTCCACATGTTTTGTCCCCTCTTTCTGTTTTATTTCTTTGCTAATTTCATGCTTTCACCTTCAAGCCCCCTGTGCTCTCATGGCTCTGTCCACAAACACTTCAGCATCTCTCCACATCTGGGGTATAAATGGGGCTTGCACAATGGCAGTAAACCTCCATCCTCTGCAGGAATTACTGTCCTAATGCTGTCCCCTGTCGTACACTGATGTGTTTACACAGTGAGAGGTGCTGACTGAGTTTTGCTGTCAAACCCTCATGTCTCCTGTATTTGTCTGATCATGGAGTGCGTGTTGTCCTCTGTCCATTTACAAAGTAGAATTCACAAAGACACATTGCAGATATTGCATAAAGTTGATGAACAGATACTGTACATTATAACAATGTATTGTCAAAGAGCATTTTTATCACTAGAGTTTCAGCACATCAGTTCTGGTCTTTCACTGAATGTTAGTCTCTTACCACCCTGTAGGTACAAGCGCACCCCAAGAGTAAATTTTGGCCCCAAGTATTTTGGGGTGTTCACACAAAGTTAGATTGTCATCTTCATGCTCACTCAGCACCTGCCAAGCTCAATATTTCATTTGTCCCTGTAAATAAGCTCTCTTCATTTTATCTTGACCACGAAGCCAACTTTGTTTGACAAATTAAGTTTGGAAATGACTGAAGATGTGACAAAGCTGATGGTTTGTTTATATTTGATAAGCTTAATTGTTCTTACTGCTGTTCTCATCAATGATGATATATCACCGGTCTTCGAGTGTCCAATCCTTTCTGGTGTGATGAACATGCACACATTCTGCAGCAGTGAATGTATTCATACATCTTTATATTTTTGTTTTGCAGAGCATACAGAGCACAGTAGTAGTATAACAAAGACTGTATATTTTCTATGGTTTTTCAGAGTGACTTGCACCCATTTTCCTCACATATTTAATATATCTGCAGTAGGCTGTTGTCTGTCTTAAATTTAACAAGGGAGGTGATTTGCAGTTTTCTATTGCTTGCTTCCTCTTACAAAGACTCAGTTTCACTGGATCAGCCCTAACTCAGTCACAGATCTTTGCAGTGTATCACTATAAGCAATGGCTGTCCAGCATATGATAACCACACTTTGTAACATTGTATTAATCAGTCAATATCACCTGAGAATGGAATTATTTAAGGTATTTATGTTGCACCAGTCTGTCATCTACAGTGGGCATTCATTCATTATGACTTGTAATACAATTTTTCAGTATTCTGCAACTTGTAGTGAAAATGTTAATGAGTTCTACAATTAATTGTAGTTAAATAACTGTCCTCCATTAAAACAGCTCTCCTTTTAAGGCAAAGGTTTTAAAACCCATAGAGGTTGGCTGTGAGTAGCTGGACCAACCACAGAGAAATGTCCTGATGTTTCCAGTTTAGAGTGATGTCGTAAAGTGATAACCTTTAATGGGTTGTCAGCTCTTTGAAAGGAAATGTTTTTGGGTATTTATGTAATTAGACATTTAAATGTAATTTTACTTTGCATCTTCTAGTAAGATGGCCGGTAGTCTGTCTACAAGCACTGTAGCCCCCTCAAGTGGCAGGTCATTGGTACTGTAGTTTAAGGTTTATAGTGGAAAGTTTCCACTATAAACATGGTTACTCTTAAGACAATTTTTAAATTGTAGAGAAACACTCGTGTCTCTGGTTGGAAGTGACTTAGGAGCACGTTTCCAGGTTATAGCACACGTATCTTAAAGTTATAAATAGTAATGCAATGATCACTATGCCCAGATGTTAAAGATTTTCCAGTTTAACATGTTTTATTGTAATTTAAATGGAATTGGCTCGTGGTTCAGAATATCACTTATTTGAATTGTAGCTACATTAAGCTGGTTGTTTTATCCTTGCATTACTGATGTAAAGGACACTTATCCTGCGGGCACTAAACCAGTGCACTCTAAATGCAGCAGCCATTAAAGCAAAGTGCGCAGCTGCATGAAGGAGCTCACCGACTCTGCTGCTAAGCCTTGTTTCCTTTCGTGATGCAACAGGTCGGTGACTCTGTGCGTAACGATCTCTTAGGGGGTGTTCATCAGAGGATCACTGAACTGCAGGCGCAGTTTCTCTGACCTGTATCGATTTGCTTCTATTATGCATCCCCTTTTCACAACTCCGTGCTAAATATTTCAGCACATTTTAATCCGGACCTGACTGTGCATGGTTCTAGTTGTTAGTATCACAGTTTAATATTTGCAAGCCTATTTAAAAACTGCATATGTACCACTCATCTATTTTCGCTGCTCCTATGTGGAAGCGCGCTCTGGTGTAAATGCTCGGAGACGCGCACGTTGCTCAACGGGAGCATCACATGTTTACCCCCACGACGTCACCGCCGCTGTCCTAGACTGTGCTTCCGGTTTTATGGCAGCTCACATAGAAGGAGGCAGTAATGTGGGGCATTTTCACATGAATGCTTATGTTTAGTCAGGTGTGTTGAGGATGGCACAGGTGACACAGCTCTTTCGGCTGGTGTTCTGTCCGTCCGCGGTTCGTCCCACATTTCGCACGCACAGGAGGTACAGCAAGGTGCGCAAGCTTGTTATTACTGCAGTAGCCTATGCTAACGTTGACTTAGCCTCCAGTGCAGCAGGGTGTGTAGTGTGAGTGCTGAGAGCTGCAGCTATTCATGTTTGTAAGGAGTGAGAATCTGGCTGTTTTTTTTGTTTTTTTGTTGTTGTTGTTGTTGTTTGGTGGTTTTTTGCTTTAATAACCTTGCTCCTGTGCTTTGTTTTGTCTCCTTGAGATATTTGAAACTAAAACACTTTAACAACTTTCAACACTTTAAAACGAATAATCAATTATTTTAGAAAATGGTAATATTACAGTAATAACTAATGAATTGTTAGTTGCAGCCCTGATATACAGTGCAGTGTTTGAGTGAGATGGACCCTCCACCTCCGCTCACTGTTCTCCTTTGGGTTATGTGGTTCTCAGAGCAAAATATATTTTTGACTGAATACATCCAAATTGGGATATAATTGTCAATATTTTTGAAAATTATCCCATCTTATGTCAGTAAAGTTAGTATGTAATGCAAACTAAGGGTGAGAGATGAAGAACCAGGCTGGTGTGTGTTTTATGTCCTTATTATGCTATCCACTCAGCTAGAACTTTAAAGTAAGTGTAAAACATGGCATTATGTTCCTATAAAACAGCCTTTAAACTGAATGAAAGCAGCATTAGCACATTGCTTTGTCTATACTCCAGATTCACAGGGCTTCTTACTAACTATATTTAGCATATGGATGTACTTAAAATGCACATATGCACTCTCCTTTTCATTGTTTTTTTTTTTTTGTATATATATTTTTTTTGGTCAGCTGAAGGTGCCCCC